GCCTGCTTCTCCCTCTCCCACTCCCCCTGCTTGTATTCCCTCTCTTGCTGTGTCTCTCTCTGTCAAATAAATAAATAAAATCTTTAAAAAATAATAATAATAAATTAATTAATTTAAAAAAAAAGATATTCCATACAATTCTGGTAAAATTATTCCCAGCAGTTACCTAGACTATGAAATGATCCTCAGTGATGTACAGATACTCTTGCAAAGCCACCTCTAGGCTTTTTGGCATGTATTAATTGTTTGATTAACTCATCAGTTGTCCTAACCGTGTTTGCTGGAACTCGTACTCGACATGCAGTGGTCAGCAAACTTGGCTTCGGGTCCCATTTATTGATGACCTACTGTGTTCCGGGCACTTTAAAATACTTAACGCTCTCTAAATTTTCCCAAGGGCCTCCCCCATTTCACCACCCTTTTTAAATAAGATGCAGGAATTATAGAGGTTAGATAGTTTGTCCAAGGTCACAAAGTGGCAAGGCCAGGATTTGGACCCAGTTCTATTCAACTCAAAATAGAGTTGCTTACACCTCTATGTCATGCTGCATTTAGCATGGCACTCTGCTCCTTTGAACTTGTTTCCCTCTAAAATGGGAATAACCATATCTGACTTGCCTACTTCAAAGAATTCTTACAGAGATCAAATGAAGTAAAATATTTTAAAACACTGTGAAATTTTTATAGCGTTTACATGTAAAAGCTACTGGGGAAGTATACACACTATACACACACACGCGCGCACACACATTTTTTAGATTTGTCCATACCTTGCCTCCTACCACAAAGGGTTTGTGATGGTATGTAAGGGGTTTGTTGTTTTTTTTTTTTTTAATCAAAAAGCTACCCAGCTGCTGACTTATGTTAGCACTTGGCAGTTAAACCATCAGAGGAAAATCTGTAACTCCTATTATTATAGCTTGATAGCATACACAAGTGCCCCCTTCACTACTGTGTCTAGAACACTAAATTTCTACTTAAAGTTCCTGGATTATGGCTTCTTCCTATTCCTTATTTGTAATTAGTCATCTTTGATACTGATTCAAATTTTTGCATAGCATTTGTTAATTAGCTACATATATATTTACAGTGGTTTTATAAGAATTAAAGTTTTATCTTACCTCATTTGCCATTTGAGGCAGATGAGAATGGATAGCGATCTACCTCGGTTAAAAGTATGGACACTGACACAAAATAAAATGTCATTAGAACCTGCAAAGTTTTTTGGTTTTGTTCCTAATATAACCATTGTTTTTTTTGTTTTTTGATTTTTTTCCCCTCTCCAGGGTACAATGTCTCTTTGCTATATGACCTTGAAAATCTGCCGGCATCCAAGGATTCCATTGTGCATCAGGCTGGCATGTTGAAACGAAATTGTTTTGCCTCTGTCTTTGAGAAATATTTCCAATTCCAAGAAGAGGGCAAGGAAGGCGAGAACAGGGCAGTTATCCATTATAGGGATGATGAGACCATGTGAGTATAGAACTTGGTCCTAAAGCCTGGGTGTGGCTGTTAACATGCCCTTACTGAAAGATACACAGTTAAGTCAGACCTTAAGCTCTATTGTGTGAATCTCCCTAACATGTCTTTCTCATAAAATTCTTTAAGCCAGGATGTAGATGACAGAGGAGAAAAGGGGGCCATTTCTGCTGGTCTCCAGATACCAGAAGTTGGCAAAAGATGAAAGGGGAATCCAGTGCTTTCCTTTAAGGCACCACTATTGAAGGTCCCCTTCAGTCATACAGCCTGGGTAACGAGGAGGGAGAGGGGACTGTGCATTCTGTGTGTTTGCAACTCTTGAATCCTCTACATAGTAGGACTCTCCTAGTATATAAAGAAATTTTTTAAAGTGAAGTTCTGAGAGTTAGTAACCCCAGATTCCATGTCCTACCACACAGACAAGTCAGTACCAGCTACTCAGGGTGATTTTCCTCTCCTGCCTCTCTCAGGGCATGCATGTGTTATACTGACTTTGTTGGTCATACATACTGAGTCTCCCTTGGCATGCCTTGTTTTATGAACTAAGAGATTTAGGACTTTACCCACCTACTTCACTTTGGAGATCGAGTTCTTGACAGAGTCTCATGCTGATTCTGTACTTCTTACCTCATGGGTTTTGTTCCCCTCAGGTACGTTGAATCTAAAAAGGACAGAGTCACAGTAGTCTTCAGCACAGTGTTCAAGGATGATGACGATGTGGTCATTGGAAAAGTGTTCATGCAGGTATGGATCGGACTCTTATGGGGGGACACCATGGTGGTGATTTATACCTTGGCACTGAAGCACACCATGAGCATAGAAGAGAGAACTGGCCACTGTGAGGGTGCCAGCACTTGTTGAAGATTTCATTAAACAGCTCGCACCAGACTCACTGCGTGTAGTTTTTCCTTAGCGCCTTTAGCCTTTTGCAGGACTGGATTGGACTGGAGAGTGAACTGAGGATTAAACATACTAATGGTATGACTGAGTTTTAAGCACCCTTGCTGCCATAGGGTCCTCGATTTAAAGCTTAGTCATGTTTCCTACCCTTCCTGCAGTTTCTGGCAAGGTCCATTCTTGGCTTGATTGAGTACTAAAGTCTTCTCAGAACAGAATCCCTAGAAAATTCCTAAGTAGTAGATAGTATATCAGTTAGGGTAGAGTCGTTGAGCAGACAGTGAGGCAAATTGGCCGGAGTTTGCCTGAGGTCACCATAGAGCGCCTCCTTCAGAAGCAGCTCACCTACCAAGAAGAGGAACGGGGCTTAGTGGGACATTTTGTAATTGGATTTCTGGTACAGTTGGACTCCAGTTTGATACAGTACTCCGTTGTGGTAGTGTCATGCTGTCTGCTAACCAGTTGCTGGCGCTAAGATAATGAGAGCTTGTCGTTGAAGTGATAACCAGGCTGATTTCTTCCCAGATGGCTCAGCATTCAATATCTAGTACAGTGGGTAAATTTTCCAACACCTTTTGTACGTTCATTGTGTTGCTTGGCAGGGTGAAGAGATTTAAGAATTCCGAGACGGAATCTTTTTTGCTACATGGAGTTGAAAAATGGTTGTGCTTAATGTAGTGAGGATATTTTATGGGTATCCTCTCTAAGCGGCTAGGGAAATACTCAAAAGTGAGAGCCTCAATTTCATCCATCTCTAGTGGCTTTTTGTGTTTAGTCTAATTAATCAGAAACTCTAATTTTGGAGCCACAATGCAGAAAAATTAGGATATTGACACTTTGAGCATTTGAGAGTACTAAACTTTGAGAGAGAGAGAGTGTGTGTGTATACACACAGATACATAGACCTATATCTTGGGTCCTAAATGTAAGCTTCCAGACAGGCATTTCATCTGTTTTTAGGCAGAAATGACAGGGGAATTAAATGCAGTAGCTTAGAAATTGGGCTGAATCCAGACTGACAAACTAATTTTAAAAGCTATGAAGTATATATTTAGATTTGGCTCGTTTTTTACCAGTCTTGTTCCATTTTATGCTTTAAACAGACCTTATCTTGGAGAACTTACAGGAGATTTGTTCCTTAGGAGAGTATTGTGTATTTTTTTGCATATGAATTTAAACTCCTCCCTCAAAATACATGCAGTAGGGCACTGGTCTAAAAGGGAGAAGCAAGTCTCTGCATTTTTGCACTGACAGTATCTCTAGTTAGTGACTGGACTGGCACCATGCAGCTCCAGCTGGTGTCCCGGGCTGTGAAAAGGCTGTGCTCGGGAAGCCATCTGCCTTGCCTCCTTCTCCACGGAGTCGAAGGCTGGGGCAATTTATTTGAAATGACCTTAGAAACCTGGGCTTATTTTGCTAGATTTTACTCCAAAATAAATCATCTGAGACTTTTCCTGGACTTCGTTATTTTAAATTCCTAGAACAGTGGATGCCTAGCACAGAATGCTGGGACCCAGGGACACTGTTTGAAGTTCCTCCACGTCACTGACTTGCTTGCTGTGGGCCTTTATGGGTTTTCCCCTCCTGGCGTGGACCTCAGTTTGGTCAGAACACGATTCCTGCTTTGGCAGTCAGCAGGCCAACTCTGAGGGATGCTTCCTGCCTTTGGGAAAAAGACGGAGTTTCCATTCCCCACTCACATGGATATTTTAGTGTTTGCCTTTGGTGCATTATCTTTGTCAGCATGCAAGCTGAGCACTAGAGAAAGTCTGGTAGATACCATGTCACTGCTCATTCTGTGAAAAGCATTAGGAACAATACAATTTTGGAGATTATAGAGTATGGTGAACTAGAATATTTTTCATATTTTTAGATCTTAACGTCCGCCCCATAACCAAGAAAAGTTAAACAGAGACCACTGGTTTCTGTATGTTCAGGGACAAGACACAAGCAATCTGCCTCTCAGGCAGGTGTGAAGATAGGATGTTGAGAACCCTGTCTACCTGGTTGCCTGTGTGGTTATAGCTGTAGGATGTTTTCCTGAAGTGGGAGCACTGAGTGAAAGTCAGGAGCTTTAGTAGATACTGCCAGACCCTCCTCCACGGAGGTTGTACCCTTTTGCCTCCCACCTACAATGCATGAAAGTGTCCGATTTCCCAGAGTATGTTGTCAGACTTTCGGATTTCTGCCAATCTGATAGATGAAAAATGGTATCTACATTCTCTTGGGAACAAGGTCCAACATCTTTTCTTAGGTTGAAGGCTATTTATTTTTCTTCCCTGTGAGAGGTCTCTATCCTTACCCATTTTTCTATTGGGTTGCTAATCTTCTCTATTTCTTTATATACTAGAGAGATTAGCCTTTTATCTATGGTAGGAGTAGCAAATATTTTTTCCAGTTTGTCATTAGAGTTTGTGGAGTTTTTTTTCCCCTCAACTCAGAAGTTTATTTTCACATAGTTAAGTCAGTCTCTTCTGTGGCTCCTAGATTTTGAGTCATAGTTAGAAACTCCTTTCCTACTCTAAGATTGTAAAGAAATGTACCTGTATTATTTTTTAGTATTTTTACAGTTTCATATTTTACACATAATCTTTGATTACCTGTTCAGAGTTTTCTCCTGGTATATGGTATGAAAGATGCATCCATCATTTTTTTCTAAATGGCTACCCACTGGTCTCAGTAGCCATTGTTTCAAGGCCCATGTTTATACTACCAATTTACGATGCTACCTTTATCATATACTCAGTTTCTGTGTATACTTGGATTTATTCTGAACTTGCTATCATAAATTGTGCTTTGATGGAAGAGAGAAATAGTATTGTGATACTCAAAAGACATCCTAGTTGGAGGAAGAAAAAAGAGGCATCATTGTTGACACGCACAGGACAAAGACCCTAATGAAAAAGGAGAACTGTTTGGGTGGGTTGGTTGATTTGTTTCTTAAGTATTATTTAAGAGAGCGTACCAAGAAGAAACAAAGACGTGACAGCGCCGAAAGGATAGACCCAAATCAGAAGTGCATTTTTAACCAGATCCACGTGTCATTTTCCGTACACAGAACTGATGGAAGCCACGCTAATAGGTCACCATGGGTTTACATTCACCCCATCTGGGTATGAATGCCAACAGGTACCAGTGATTTGGAGCCTTCGAGAAACTTACTAAACACAAGAAAACGCTGGCAGTTATTATCTGTTCTATTTTCTCTGCTTCCCCCCACCCCGGGGGGGGGGTGCTAAAGAGTAAAAATAAAAAGTGAGAAAACCTCCCAACCCCTTTCCAGAATGAAAAGTAACATTTTCTAGAGAAGGGTAATCTCAGAAGCTTTGCTTTAGGAATTTCCATTTTGAATGATCTTGACTCCTTCCATACCTCTCCGAATATTTTTCATTTGAGAAACAAAAGATAGGGAGCTAACCTAACCTGGCTATGTTAGTTTATCTTCCACCAAGCTTTAGAAGCCAAGCAGTGCCAGCTCAGGAGGCAGGGTGGTGGAACAGGTGAGATTCCAGACTGGGCGTTAGAATTCCTCAGATGTTATCCTTTTGCCACTAATTTGCTGAGGGCTTGCTGCCCTGTGCGCATTCTTCCTACCTACAAACGGAAGCATTGTTCCTGTCCCTTCCTTTACAGTGCCACAGCTGTAACTCAGCTAGGGTAGAAAGTGCTTACTTTCATTCAGCAAGCCATGTGCTAGCCAGCCTCTTTGAAGGAAGAGGAATGGATACAGAGTAATAAAGGAGGATCCTTGGCTTGCAGAGCTTACAACCTGGTAGAGAAGCCAGATGCTTTAGTGCATAGTAAACTGCCATAGTAGAGACTTAGAAGACATGGGAACTCCCGACGAGATGGCAGCCAGCTACCCGAGTCTTTTGGAGATGGCAGGATAGAGGAGGTCATAGCTGAGCAGCAGCAGAAGAGCAGTGCAGACAAAACAGCCCTGTTAGCATGCTTTCGGTACTCCTAGAACTACCTAGCCCTTGGTTCCGTCCTTCGGCTATCACTCAGTGAATTTGGATCACCCTGTTTTACTGGCATTGCTGGAAAATCTAGTTCTGTTCTTGCAGATCTGGGTTGAGACAGGGATGCCTTGTATCACTTTGGTATGTACAAAGGAATGTATGCATTAGAAAAGCTTGAGGTTTGAAGATTAAAACATAGGGGGGAATGGCCTGGTTTTTACATCCTCATTTTCCTGTCGTTTGATGAGGGTGGGGACGTTTTGTTATGGATGATGAGCTCTTAGGCAGAGTGGTGGTGATTGAGTCTATAGCCATTCAAGACCAGAATTAACAGTCAGGCTTTCACTTCTCATGTCACACAGCCGCCGCCTCTCAGCGAACCCTAAAACAACTCAGCTTCTTTAACTCCGTTGTCTTCTGCCCCTGAGAAGGGCTTACATTTAGTCTAAAGTTCTGATTGGTGGATTCTAAACAGTAACGGTCTAAGATACCTCCATGAAACAGGACTTGTGCAAAGGTCCAGAGCCCTGAGAAAGCCTGGTTTTCAAGAAAGGGGAAGAAGCAGAGATGGGGGTGGGAGGGGTGAGAAATGGGCCAGCTCATAAGGGGCTTTCAGGCAAAGATGAAAGGAGTTAAGATTTTATCTTGAGTCTTAAGCATGCTGGAGCCTAGGTTCCATGAACCCTGAGATTGTCAAGATTTCCTGATAAATACAGGCTCTTCACATGAAATCAAAAGAAACAATCAGCAGTAGTCCTTAATCCTAAATGTAACCTGGTTCTAATGCTTTGCAGTTCGTTGTCAGTTTAGTGTCAGATGAACTTTAATTGCCTCTTTAATTGCCTCTGTCATTCCCAAACAAGAGAAAGGGAACAGGATTAAGAATGCTCTCATCAGGGGCGCCTGGGTGGCTCAGTGGGTTAAGCGTCTGCCTTTGGCTTAGGTCATGATCCCAGGGTCCTGGGATGGAGCCCCCGCATTGCATCGGGCTTCCTGCTCACCGGGGAGTCTGCTTCTCCCTCTGCCACTTCTCTCTCTCTCTCTCTCTCTCTCTCTTTCTCATGCACGAGCTCTTAAGTAAATAAATCTTTTGGGGAAATCTTTTTGCATCCGGATCGCATCGGTAGCAGCCGGCACTTGTCCTGCTTCATTTCAGGTGTTTCTTCTTAGCCCTCTGCCAGTCTGGGGTGCTACAGAAGTCACACCCCGTAGGGCCAGCCTTGTAGTGGAAGTTGCCATTCATCTCACGTCATGCTCTCTTCTGGTTGCTTTGTGCAGGAGTTCAAAGAAGGCCGCAGAGCCAGCCACACAGCCCCACAGGTCCTCTTTAGCCACAGGGAACCTCCTCTGGAGCTGAAAGACACCGATGCTGCCGTGGGCGACAACATTGGCTACATTACCTTCGGTGAGCAGGCTGGGGGGATATGCCAGGTCGTGCACCTCTGGTGGCTTCCCCTGCAGGGTGCCTGAAACGGCACAGACCTTTGTTAAAATGGGAAAGGGGCAAAAGCGGGTGTACCAGATCGTTCTTGTATGCCCGTGCTCTGACTGTAGGAGGGTGTGCCATAATCATTTTCTTTTTTCCCTGTTTTTCTTAAATCCTGGGGGAAAAAATAGAGCCCCTGATGTCAAGTGTTAAGAGTCGGGACCACATGAACATCACTAAGCAGCTGGGTGGGAGGCAGTTCTCTTGCATTTGACATTTCTTGGTTTTTTGCTTACTAAGCCAGAGCTCTGGCCATGATTCACTTACTCCACTGAAGAAGTTCAAGTCTTCCCTTCTTATGGTTACTCCAGACGAGTGAGCTTGGCTTCTGATTATAGCTAACAGTTGGGAATAACAGCTCATTCACACATTGCACCCAATGCCACTAAAATGTTGCCTTTTCTGAAATTTAAGTCACCTCAGTACTGAAGGTGTACCTGTTTATTGGTGATGAGCCCACCGACTTACCATGTTCCGTGACCTCTAAGCTACACGTTTTCTTTCACTTGACTGTCCTTGAGGCTGGGGCGCAGCTTACAGTGCATGCCATGCGGTTTAATTGGCAGCCTTTCTCGTTATGCTGCAGAAACGGTACAGTCGCTATGCCACATAGTTAGCTCTTGTCCTGCTGTTCGTTTCTTCTCGGCAAATTGACACAGAGGTCCCACCCTTTCCTTTGAGGTACTCCTTTTCATGTTAGCAAACGTCCCGCTTGGAGGATATTGCTGCTGCCGAGACCACTGAGTAGAGTAGGTACAGGAGATGGAGAGGGTTCCAGAAAGCTGAAGGGAGGGGTGGAGACGGCGGAGTGGCTACAGGGGGCTTCAGTGCATGGCACCATGGGAGGGGCTTTTCTCATCCTCCGGCCAAAGCAGCTCGTGCTACCTGTCCTCATGAGAAGAGTTGAGGTCCTGGGAGCTTAGAGTCCCTCGTTTTCACCCCAAGACCACAGAACCAAGTGCCTCTGTGAAGGCTCAAGCACCATGGATGGAAGATAGGCAGCTTTTGTTTCCTAATGCTGATGTCTAATAAGGTGTTTTCTCCAAAGGCCCCCCGCGCCCCCAGCCAGCGGTACCACCTTCTCAGGAGACTGCTGTGCCGTAGAGGCAGAGGCTGGTAGGCGTGGGGCAGGCGGGGCATAGATGGCAGAATGCACAGCCACAGGCTAGAGCCCAGACCTGGTGTGATGCCCAGCACTAAGCCCTTTCCTGGGGAGCCCTGGTGTTCTGCCATGATCTCCTCCATTTGCACTCCCTGGTACCTGCCCTGTTACAGTACTTATCCCTTCCTCGTGAAGGAGAACACTTTGACAAAGCCTAGGTGTGATGAAACAAGCGCATTGTCCTCAGGCAGGGGCAGGGAGAGCTCAGGGCTGACTGTAGGCTCTGATCTTCCCGCCCTTCAGCCTTGATGTTACACCCTGATGTCTTGTTTGTGTCCCTGCCGGCAGTGCTGTTCCCTCGCCACACCAATGCCAGCGCTCGAGACAACACCATCAACCTGATCCACACTTTCCGGGACTATCTGCACTACCACATCAAGTGCTCTAAGGTGAGAAGGGCCCACGGCAGCTCAGCTCCTATGCTCCGGGTCATTCTCTCCACCAGAGTTAATAACATAAAAAGTCATTTCTGGGTGGGCTGCACCTGGCTGGCGGAGTCGGTAGAGCGTGCGACTCTCGATCCTGAGGTCGTGCGTTCGAGCACCACCACGGGGGGTAGAATTTACTTTAAAAAAAAAAAAAAAAGTCATTCCTGTAGTCCAGGCTGTTACTATGAACTGTAATGGTTCTAGAGACTTTTAAGATAATCATGGCCTTTCTTCCATCTCTCCCCATAGTAGAGAGATGCAGATGTATCTCCAGAAAGTTGCCCTCCTGCTTGCCTGCATATGGCCCTGTGTCAGTCCCAGGGCATATGTTCCCAGACCTTCCTGATAACGTCTACTGAAAGCAGAGCTGTTTTTCTAGAACATGACTGCTTCAGTACCCATTGTGTTTGCTCCCAGGCCTATATTCACACACGTATGCGGGCAAAAACATCTGACTTCCTCAAGGTGCTGAACCGTGCACGTCCAGATGCAGAGAAAAAAGAAATGAAAACAATCACGTGAGTAGGGCGGTCTCAGAAGCAGGACCACCTTCCTTTCCTGATTTCACCAAGAGGGAAATAGTGGATGTTGATGACCTGGCCCTCCAGGTGTCTGGGCAGCAGGTACATGTGAGAGGCAGGCAGGGTCGGCCTGTAGCCACCTGACTGACTAAAGGCGAGATGGACAGGTTTTCACTCCTGAGTGGGCCGGGCTGGATTCACTTGTTTCCACATCTTTGTGAGCTAGGGGAATGTCAGCTAGGGAAAACACAACGGGACCTTTTTACTGAGATACACTGTGTTCTCTTTGGGCCTGAGTTAGGTCAGTCCTCAAGATCTTCCTGGAGAAAGGGAGAGATTTGCTTATGGACATTTAGTTGAGTGAACAGGCCTGGAGCCACCCCTTAAGTGTTTTTATCCCCTGGTCTGCTGCTCGGCAGTTTTGCATGGAGATGACGTTGTCTTTCTCAGGGATGGAATTGTCGAACTGGGGGGCTCCAGTGTGTGGCTCCATGCAGGAGAGGCCAGCATGGTCTAGAGCCTAGATAGGGATTTAGGTCTTTAGGCAAAATGTCAGGGTTTTTTGGTTCCTCCTCTGTGAAGTTGAGGTGATCCTGTTCTCAAGATAAGGAATAAGTGCTTATCTGCCAGCTTTTGTGCCCATTGAACTCAAGTCTTGAGGTGAACTAAGCTTCTGCACATCCCTCACAGCCAGGGTATTTGCCAACGCCTGCTGCTCTCGGGGGGGGACCTTCAGCAGGTATGGTGTGCACAGGGCTCCGGGTTCCCTCCCCTGGCATGGGAGGCGCCTCCTGCCAAGCTAGGTTCTGCTGCCACCTGACAGGATGAGAGCGGTGCCTGACTCCTGGTACCGGAGCCGAGGGTTTTCAAGCGCAGAAACCTCTGATGGTTATAAAAGCACTTGAAGTCACTCCTGACTTCTTAGGCGAAGGCTTTAGAGGCTGCCCATCTCATGAAATTGGTACCAAAGGCTTCTCTCAGTACTAACTCTATACCTCCTGCCCAGAGCCTGAGGAGTGGGGTTCAGTCTATAGTTGGATCCTCTGCTTCCAGAGGGGTGTCCAGGTGCCATGGTGACAAAATGGCAGCATCACACCTCTGCTCTGCAGCTTTGTGGCAAGGCCTAAAGTGGGCAAAACTGACACAGGGTGGGGAGGGCGTATGTCCCGGGACACACATGCTCTTTGCGCCTCTTCTAAAACCTGGCCTCCCTCCTGGGGTTTACAAGTTCCCCTGCCCCTCTTGCTTTCCACAGGACTGCCCTTCTCACAGGGCACCGCTGTGGTGACTTAGAGCGGGAGGTGACCAATGCTGTGCCATTTTCAGGGCCAGTGGAGAGACTGGCTCGGAGGTGAACAGGCAGCCAGGCATAGCAGAAGGAAGCCTGACCTGGCCAGCCCGTCCTACACCAAATGGGAAGGCTGTCTTCGTAAATACTCTGTCATGGGGCTGCCTGTGTCCGCTGCAGCCCTGGAACTTCTCGTCTGTCCAGAAGAGCCCACCGAGGCAGCCACTGCCCAGTGTCTCCCCACAGGGCCTCTGCCCTGCCGTGTTAGCCTGCCGGCAGGTGGTCCTAAAATGCTGCGACATGGGTGCGGTCGTAACTGGGGAAGGACAGCTCCTTGAAACCAACAAATTGTCCGTAAACCTCCTTCCTGGGAGCTAAAAAGAGCAGCTTTGCCTTTTTCTGTCCTGTGACCTCTCTTTAGCAGAGATGGGCCCCAGGAAGGAGGAGGGGGAGGCAAACAAGCACATCCAAGCTGAAAACCAGATCATGTTACTAAGGATGAGTAGAGAAGCCAGGACAGACAGACAGACACACACACACACACACACACACACACACAGACACACACCCACACACCCACACACACACACACACACGACAGTGGAAATGGAGGGGCTGCATGGAATAAGATGGCAGGCCTGGCTTGGTGCTCTCGAACGCTCGCCAGCTTTGCATGGAGGGGTGGGGTTGTAAAATACGGTTTCAGTTTGGGGTGGCTGAGACATTCAGGACAGGAAGATTTAGCCCCCCTTTCTTTGCCCCAATTTCTCATAGTTCCCAGCCCTGGCTTCCAGGCTGCTTTACCAAATGAGCTCTGTCTTTGGGAACCAGCCTGTTCCCAAAGCTGGCCCTTCCGGAGAAATCCTGGGTGGGACAGAAGGCCAGGACTCAGGAGCCTAAAGTCAGGCGAGTGTTCTGTAACCCGGAGTCTGGTCACCGCATGGCAACACAAAGTTCTTGCACTTGGAAGTTTTGAGCATCCTGCTCCCATGGTGAAAAATAGAAGGAACTGCTGTGTGCAAGGCTGAAAAGGTACAAGCTGTGTAAGGGGAGCCTGAGCTCTCAACCCAGAAGAGGGTCAAGCCCAGTTTGAAATTCAAGTAGGTCTAGGCCATCCAGACATTGTGGGCAAGGGATTGTCCTGTCTAACTTGGTACATCGACCGTCCTGTGGGTATGGCACAGGTGCTCCCTGGTCTCCCCGAAGTAAGTATTCAGCAGGAAGAAAGAGCTGATCAACTCTCTGTGGGAGCTGGGCCTTATTCCGGGCCTAGAGTTCCCGCATCTTCTGAGGAACGTTCGCACCTGTGTCTGGTGTCTCTGAGATCCCATCCCGGGGGCGGGGGTCAGGACAGGGGAGCCAGAAACCGGCCTTCACACTTCTCTCTGCTCTTGAAGGGGGAAGACGTTCTCATCCCGCTAACTCTCGGGAACAGGAAGAGGAGGCGGCTGGCAGCTGAAGGCTGGAACGCTTGCTACTGGATAATCGTAGCTTTTCATGTTGCACCTCTTCAGGTTCTTAAGGGATTCTCCATTTTGGTTCCATTTTGTACACGTTTGGAAAATAATCTGCAGAAACGAGCTGTGCTTGCAAGGACTTCATAGTTCTCAAGAATTAAAAAAAAAAAAAAATTCCACTTGATCAACTTAATTCCTTTTCTTTACCTTCCCTCCCTCACTCCCTTGCCTTCCTCCCTCTTTTCCAAGCTGTTGCGCTTTGCAATATGTTACTGGTAATGAGTTGCAGGATAATGCAATCTTAACTTGTTTTCTCCTAAGTATTTGAGTTCAAAACTCCTGTATCTAAAGAAATACGGTTGGGGTCATTAATAAAGAAAATCTTTCTATCTTACATGAGAATTTGCTGGGTTTCTAGACTGAGTCCAAAAGGGGGGAAGGGGGAGGAAGGGTACACATGGTGCTGCCCTTGAACCTACAGACCCAAATCTCGGAAGCCTTAGATCAGGAGTCCCTCGACAACCCCCCCCCACCACCACCACCCCTTTGAGGAGAGAGAGGATGGCTGGCTAGTGAGTTCTTAGTTGGCAGTTCTGAATAAACGTGAACGTGCTTCCTGTAAAGCTTACTTATTACTATGTCTGTCTGGCCAAGAAGCTTCCAGGACCGTGACAGTCACATGATGTGTTTTCTGGCTTATTCTTTCATCATAAATAATGCACAGCACTTCCCAAAATGCATTTCGTGGCCTGTGTTCTGCAGGACAGTGATGGGTGTTAGGGTGTGGATCTAATGCAGACATTAGAGTAACTGGCCACCCTTTCTCTTCTCATACAATAGCCCAAAAGACTGGCCTTCCACAGAATTCCCTTTGGGGAGATGCTCCCCTAACAGTACCGAGCCTAGCAATGTATGCTGTCCCCCAGCTAGCAGGACACTGATCCCAAAAATAAAACCGTTCAGAAAATTTGGTAAAGAATTACAGGAGAGTTTTGTGAGCACCTGAAATGGTCTGAGGACCATCCTGACCGTTTTTAGCTTCTTGCTTTCCCTTTTAATTTGTCTCCATCTAGTGCAGTGGGTTTCATACTGGTTTGAGACCCATTCATGAATCGTGAACTGTCCTGACATTTTTGTTTCCGAAACTTGTGAGATCACTGTAGGTTCATATGCTGTCGTAAGAAATACTACAGAAATTCTGTGTGCCCTTCACCCAGCTCCCCCCAGTGGTAGCATCTCGAATGACGGTAGTGCAGTATCTCGGCCAGGACTGCGTCGTGGGCACAGTCCGGCCTGACTCGTGCGTGCATGCATGTCTGCGTGGGGGGCAGGCGGGGCAGGTGTGTATTTCTGTGTGTCTGTCACGTGTGTAACTTCATTACTGGCCTTTTTTTTTTTTTTTAAGATTTTATTTGAGAGAACGAGTGAGCACAAGTGGGGGGAGGGGGAGAAGCAGACTCCCCTCTGAGCAGGGACCCCGATGTGGACTCGATCCCAGGACCATGTGATCATGAGCTGAGCTAAAGGCAGACGCTTAACCGACTGAGCCACCCAGGCGCCCCAGCTTTTTTTTTTTTTTTCTCTTTTCAATGGGATAGTATAGATCAGAGTACATCACATTTCTCAAGGGTAAGTATTGATTTTGGAGTGTGTTTGTTCATGTACACACATCTTGATTAGATTATAAAACACCCTTTTTTACTGTGGGTCACCATCAAGAAATCTGAAAGCTATATAGGTCATTCAGTCACCTGGACTCCATGGAAATGGGCTCTTAGTTTGGGGCTCAGTGCCCATCCCAACAAACCTGTGCACTGGGGAGGAGTGGCCCCTTGTCACCCGTTTCCGGTGGGTGGCAGACCTGGAAAAGGAAGTACCCGCTGCTGCGTCAGCCCTGTCCTGGGCAGCCCATACTTAGCAGTTGCCATTTCCATTCCCTTTGGTCCCATTGGAAGTGAAAACCCTCGTCCCAACAGCTCCTGAGGCCAAAGACCCAAACCTGGGTCTGCTCTGGGGGCTCTTTTGAGTTCAAGCAATGCTGCCCCCTTCAGGGATTGCTGAAACACTGCAGTGGCCCGGAGGGGGCCGTGAAGAGTCTGGCTTAACCCTAACAGGAAGGACAAGGGTTTCTTCTGCCCAGAGACCTGGCTCAGGGCTTCCTGAGGCCAAGGTCCTGGCCAGGATTGTGCCCAGGGCCCTCCAGAGGCTCCCAAGGGCTTGTCTGCTCTTGCCTGCGGGGAGTGACGAGTGTTGACAGCGGCTCCTGGAGGCCAGCCAGGGTCCAGAAAGCCCCGGGGCCTCCTTGCCTCCACTCATCCAGTTAGCGAGTGCCCCAGCCCCTGCATACCACACCCACCCGGCCCTGGGCCCCCACGGTCAGCAAAGAGCTGCCAGTATCCAAGAGAATGGAGTGGACGAAGGAGGCCCAGGAGGATTCCCTGGCAGGGTTGGGCCCCGCCATAGCATAGAGGCTGTGCCTGAGGAGAGGAGAACGGGGACCACGGTGATTGGCCTGCAGCTGGAATGGAGGGTCCGGAAACTGCACCAGAGCCCGTCTGTGGGCCAAGGGTCTAGAAGGCCGGGGATGAGCCAGTGCCAGAGATGGATGGGGAAGCAGAGAAGGCCCACATGGTCCAGTGAGGAGGAGACAGGACCCAGACTTCCCAGCCCCTGCCGCCTAAGCCGCCCCCTTCGGACGTCATCCCACAGACATTGTTTAGACAAAGCAGCGAAGAAGAAACACAGACATCCTGGATCCCCAGGAGGCCAGGGCTGGGAACAGAAGGAGGTCTGTTTATTCCTGGCAGCCCAACTTCTGAGGGGCCCCACACCCACTTGTGTCCAGGCCCCAGTCTGAACTCTCCCAGAGCCTCTGACTTCTGCCCGACCAGATAGCGTGGGCCTGAGGGCCGGCTGCTGGAAGCCCGCGTCCTCTGGCCGCCAGCTCGCTTGAGGAGGGTTTTGAGGCTGGATGCTTTCCTCTTCCCACTTTTTGTCCCAACAGAAGTCCTGCCTCCCCGGGCCCCCTGACCACTGTGCAGGATGGGCAGAGAGAGCTAGACCCCTCGGGCCGCCAGCCTTCAGCCCGGCTCTCTCTCCCTGCCCTTCCCCGCTGAGGGCGCAGAGGTCCCCTCACTCCGTCTACCTGTGCTCTTGAGCAGGGAGGTCTTCCGTCCTGTCTCATCTCCGGCTTTCTTGCTGCAATTTCAACCTGCTCCCTCCCACTTCAGCCTTCTTTCTAGCACCCCAAGGCCTCACTTGATACCAGTGAAAATGGGAGCATCACACCTCTTGGCTCCCTAGCCTTGCACTTGCCCTTCCTCTCCTGTACCTGCTCTCCTTGCTGTCTGTGGGGCAAAGGGCCATCCCCTCTTGCTTTTCATGAGCTCTTTGTCTGCCTTTCTCTACGGAGTTTTCTTAGCGGGGACAGGTGGCTGGAGGGAAGCAACATGCAGAGGGCAGAAATCCTAAAAATGTTAACAGCTGCCTTTCATTGAGTGCCTGTGTGCCTAGTGCTCATTTAAGTCTTCATCACGTATTAGCTCAGTTAGTCTCGCCCTAGGTGAGCGCAATATAAGCCCCATTCTACAGATGAGGAAACGAAGGCAAAAGAACTTCAGTAATTTGCCCAAGTTCACACAGCTAAAAAAAAAAAAAGGATCCCAGCCAAGATTCTAAGATTCAAGCCCAGGCTTTCTGGGCTCACGCCTCTTATTCACCACGGAGGCCTCCCATTAAGTGTCAGACACTGGGATATACGCAGTCACAGATGTTACTCCATGATATTCCCGCAACAGCCCAGAGTGGTAGTTTTACTTGTTCCCCTTTTACAGGTGGGAAAACGGGCCCAGAAGTTAGCTTGCCCAGTGCCACACCCCCAGAGCCATTTTTACCTCATTGCCCAGAACTTGACTCAAGGCAGTTGAGAAAAGTGTAGAATGACCCCAAGTTCTAGAAGGTAAGGTTGGCTTTATAAGCCAAAAGGCCCATCAGGTAATAGGATGGGAAGATCCTCAAGCTGCAAACACCCCCAGCCCTGGCACCATCAGACACTGCTCTTCAGAATTTTGGAGCTGGGTGTGCTGTCAGCCGGGTGGCCACTCCAGGGGTTTAAGACCCATCAAATGTAAATGTATTCGCTGGGACAGGAAGTGAGTGGAGAGGGGGAGCCGAAACCCTGATTATTCATTGAGTGGACTGCATTTCTCCCATTAGCTAGGCAAGCAGCAGGTGACAGGGCTCCAAGTTGGGTGACCTGAGGTAGGGGATCTGCCACCTTGGTGGCAAGCTATAGCTGGTGGCTGGAGAGGGGGCATGCGGGTACAGCACAGGGCGAGGGCACTGCACCAAGATGGGAAGGCCTCCCAGCCCCTGCAGCCCAGTGTGTGCCAGGCCCCACCCCCCAGGGGCGGGGCCAGGCTGAGCCCCACCCGCCCCAGCTCCATCCCTCCAGAACCCAGGGCAGGGGCAGAGCCTGGGCAGCAGAGAGCCTGGGGCCCTGCGGTCCCCGCGGAGTGGAGGCACCATGTCCTCACCGGCCGGGACACCAGACAGCGCCAGAAGCCCTGCAGGCCTGCCTATGGCAGCACCCTGACACTGAGGGGAAAGCCCAGGCTGGGCCAGCAACACCTGCCCCCAACAGCCATGTGAGTAGCTACGCCCTCCTCCCCCTTCACCCGTCCCCATCCACCCCGCACCCAGCCTCACCGGGAGACCTCAGCCCCGGGTCCTGAAGAGGCCAGCACAGCCCGCCCAAGCCACCTGGGCCTCCAGGGCGTGCAGGTCGCGGGGCCAGCCCAGCTCTGGGAAGGTGGCCCTGGGGCCAGCCCTGCCTTTCATGCTGCCCCCCGGGGGAGGAGGGGTGGGGACTCACTCCAGGGCAGTGCTGGGAGCTCCAGCTCCGGACTCCAGAGTCCAGGTTTGAAGTCACGGACCCTGAGGTCTCATGGGGTTTAATAAAGGGGGCACAGGGACGAAGGGAACAGAAACTGAAGGGCCTGATAGAGAGGGAAGGATGTCCTAGGTAGAGGGCTTGGGGTGAGGGGTGAGGGACGATGAGGAAGAGGAAATGGGCTGACGGGAGGGGAGAGGGGCAGTAGCTTGGTGTGGCTTGGCCGGCCTTGGCGGGGTTGGCAGCTGGGAAGAGAAGGGTCCTGAGCTCGGGGTGGCGGTGGTGCCCTCGGATCCGGTGAGCTGGGGGTGGGGGCAGGTGGGAATCCTTTCCTTCTTGACTTTAACCCTAGCAACAGCAGCTGCTCCCTGCTGACAGCAGCAGCAGGAGTTTCCCCAGGGCCGAGACTCTCCTCTTCCCCACCGTGTGGCCCTGGGGCCAGGGCGCCGGAGGGGGCTGAGGACACGGAACCAAGAAAGGGAAGGGCGGGGCCAGATCAGCCACAGAACGGCCAGGCCCTGCCCTCAGGCTCCCCCCGCCGCTTCTGGGCTCAGCTTCTGGTGTGGGGCCCGTCCTTGCTGCCGGCATCCTCCTCCCCAGTGACTCCTCTCTTCCTCCAGTTCCCAGGAAGGGCCCTGTTGCTAGTGTGGTGCAGATGAGTCAAGTTTATGGGCTGGAAGTCCTAGCCGGAGGCTGCTCACTGAGCTGTAACCGGCTGTGCGGGGGAGGGAGGTGCTCAGGGGACGGGGCACCCTGCTTGCTGCTGCCACCCGTGGCCCGGGCCTGTCGCTAACTCAGGTGTTCGGCCAGCCCTGCCTTCACCTCTGCCTGTCGCCCCCACCCGCCCCCCCAATCCTTAGCAGCCTCCCCTCTCCTAATGCTCTGGTGCCAAGCAGGCTGGGAGCACCTGAGGACAGAGACCTCTCCTTCATCGTAGCACCCCCACCCTGCACTGGCCCCAGCCCGACCTGAAGGAGGCTCTCAACTGATGGCTGGCCAGAAACCACTCACACCAGCCAGACCCTGTCCTCCCTTCTGGCCAGTTTTAGAGGCCTTGCCTTGTGGAGGCAGGGGTGGACAAAATGCTCTGGGGCCTTGGGGCTGGGTGGGTCCGCCCTTCCGTCCAAACGCAGGCATCAAACGCGGCGGCCCGGAGGGGCTCGGACAGTGAATGGCAATGGCCCGCCGGCAGGGTAGGGCCTGGGGAGTTGGGTGAACACAGGCACCCCGCAGCTCCAGCCGCGGGACAGACTTGCTGCGGGAGGTGGGAAGCCCAAAATACGGACTTTTATGTAAATCGTAACTGGCACTTAATTGAAAAAAAAAAGCGTGCCCGCTAAACATGTAAGGCCCGCGGCCCGCCAGCGGGCACCGTCTGCCTCACTGGGCCGCCTGTCTCTCACGCAGGCCCGACTGCTGCTCCAGGCGCCTCCCGGCCCCGGGCCCAAGATGACACCCAATGGCACCACGGAGGCGCCCAGCCCCGTCCCCGCGGGGGCCTTGGGGCTCTCCCTGACCCTGGCCAGCCTCATCGTCGCTGCCAACCTGCTCCTGGCCTTGGGCATCGCCCGGGACCGGCAGCTGCGCCACACGCCCGCCGGCTGCTTCTTCCTGAGCCTGCTGCTGGCCGGGCTGCTCACGGGGCTGGCGCTGCCCGCGCTGCCCGGCCTCTGGAGCCAGAGCCGCCGGGGCTACTGGCCCTGCCTCTTCCTCTACTTGGCGCCCAACTTCTCCTTCCTCTCCCTGCTCGCCAACCTCCTGCTGGTGCATGGCGAGCGCTACGTGGCCGTGCTGTGGCCCCTCCGGCCCCGCAGGCGCCCACGGCTGGCCCTCCTCCTCACCTGGGCCGGCCCGCTGCTCTTTGCCAGCCTGCCGGCGCTGGGGTGGAACCGCTGGGACCCCGGCACCGGCTGCAGCTCCCAGACCGTCTTCCCAGTGCCCTACCTCTACCTCGAAGTCTACGGGCTCCTGCTGCCCGCCGTGGGGGCTGCCGCCCTTCTGTCCGCCCGCGTGCTGGCCGCTGCCCGCCGCCAGCTGAGCGACATCCGCCGGCTGGAGCGGGCGGTGAGCCGCGGCGCGCCCTCGGCCCTGGCGCGGGCGCTCACCTGGAGGCAGGCGAGGGCGCAGGCCGGGGCCACGCTGCTCTTCGGGCTGTGCTGGGGTCCCTACGTGGTCACCCTGCTCCTGTCGGTCCTGGCCTTCGAGCAGCGCCTGCCGCTGGGGCCCGGAACTCTGTTGTCCCTCATGTCGCTGGGCAGTGCCAGCGCGGCGGCCGTGCCCGTGGCCATGGGGCTGGGCGAGCAGCGCTACACGGGCCCCTGGAGGGCGGCCGCCCGGAGGTGCCTGCGCGTGCTGCGGAGGAGAGCCCCCCGGCCCGGGGCCCGGCCCTCCACACCAGCAGCGCAAGCAGCGTGGACCTTGACCCGAACCGGGGCAAGGGCCTCTGCTGGCCCCTACTCGAAGCATCTGTCCATCTCGGCCACCAAGCCAGTCTCCTCTAGTCCCCAAGCCCCTGGACCAGAGGCCCTGCCCTTACGTGACCCCACCCTGACCAAATAAACTCCTCCGGCCCTGTTCACGGTTATCTCCGCAGCTCCGAGAGAGCGGTGGGGGCGGGGAACAGCAGCGCAAAGAAACCAAAGCCGGACACGCAGCCACAGATCCGACTCCCTCAGAATCAACGGTCGGGGAGCACGAGCCGCCGCCCCGGACGGGGGGCTGAGGAATCTCAAAGCCTAGCAGACTTTGCAGGGAGCCTCACCCCGACGTGTCCCTCACTGGTTCCTCATGTCCAGACGCCACAAAATCCACACGCACACCGTCTCTGGGAAGTATATTTTATTTACATTTTTAAAATCTGTAACTAATATCTCTTCCTCCTTTCCACCCCCCAGAGATTTGGGAAGGGAAAGAACGGGAACCTCAAAGACCTACTCCCCACATACAAACACACACCCCCGGGGCTCACACCAGCAAATGAAGGTGAAAGAGAAAGAGGCCTGACCACCCCCCCAACCGCCCCCCCGAGGGACCCGCACATCTGGGTGAGGGTGGGGGGAGCCCAAGGGGTGGGTCTCTTAAGAGAAGGGACAAGAGGGGGTAAGTCAGTTTGAAGGGGTTGAAAAGTAGTCCGAGGCCCCCCCTCCTCTTCTCCCATACCCTACCGCCTCTGCTGGTGGGGTTCTCCCTTCACCCCTCAACACCAAAGCAGAGACTGCAGCCGTTAGCGGTCAGGTCTCTGGACACAAAATACTTTTGCTTTGTGGTCTCCTGACGTTGTCACCACCAGGGAGGCATCTCTGTGGACAGAAAGCGCAGGTCGATGGGACTGAGGGACCTGGGGCCCGGCCCCAAGCCCATTACCCAGGGACCCTCGGGTGGCCTCCTCCAGGGCATCCTCAATCCTAGACCCCTGGTGCCTGGCACCAGGCTGACGTGTCCACGTCGAGTGAACACACTGGACGCCAGCAACCAGTAAGGGGATCAGAGAAGAGCCCACAGCATGGGGGAGACGGTCCCAGCCCCTTAGCCCCAGAACGGAGATGTGAGAGCCCACGCAGGTCACCCTCAGGCCTCCCCGCCCTTCGGGCTCACACACCAGGCCTTGGACCGCAGCTTCCCTTAGGAAGCCCCTCCCACACCCCAAGGACCCTGCGGCCCCCCAAGTGCCATTCCCACCCTCCAAATACACAGAGACTCCAGCCCTTGCCCAACTCACGTACTTGCTGAGGGCAAAGTCCAGGATCTCGGCCGTGTGGCCCCGGTAGTCCGTGAGCAAGCGGCCGGTGCGAGCATCCCAGAGGCGCACGATGCCGTCCAGGCTGCAAGTGTAAACCACGGCGGTGCCCGCCTCCCACAGCAGCTGCACGATGCCTGACTGCACCGGGGGGCCACGGGACAGAGCGGGCAGAGCGGACGTCAGGGCTGGGAGAGCGGGAGGCGCCTGCCCTGACTTGTGGGGGGGGGAGCAGCGGGGAGGCGGGGAGGGCCACAGAGGGCCACGCCGGAGCTCCAGGCCGCCCGTACCTGGTGCTGACACTGGTGCCTGAGGGTCTGCGTAGACAGGTCATAGATGGCCAAGGTCCCATCCAAGTAGCCAACAGCTGCCAGAGGCATCCTGGGCAGAGGAGAGCACCACTAAGGCTCGTGGAGGGACCTGGACTCACGCACCCTGCGCTCCTCCCTGGCTCCCCGGCCCAGGCACCCCTCGCCAAACCCCATCCTCCCCAGCTTTCTCCTTTCCAGGCCGAGGCCCTTCTCACACTCACACGCTGCAGAAGCCCAAAGACTCCACGGAGTTGGACTCGCTCTCCTCCCCTTCTCCCACGTTGGGCTGGGAGGCCACGGTCTCGGGTCTGAAAACCCCCACCACCTAGAAGCCGTGGGAGAGAATCCGAGGATGGGAGGAGGGCTGATGAGAAGGAGGAAAGGCGACGGGAGAGGGGCCAGGAGAGGGGCCGAGAGAGCCCTCGGTGGGGGGGGACACATGGCACGGGCAGCAGAGGCTCCAGGTCACCCTCACCTTGCCAGCGGTGGCGCTGACCAGCTTGGCCTGGCAGTCCACGGAGCCGGTGAGGATCAGGCTGCCGTCCTGGTTGGCGGCGACACAGGTCAGAGGGCCCTGGTGACCCTCGGTCCCTAGGACGGAGCACACGGCTAAGTCAGGCTTCCTCGCGGCCCCCGACGCCTGCCCCAGGCCTTCTGCACAGACACCCGGTGAACCCTGGCCCTGCCCTGGAGACCTTTTAGTACGTGGATCGGGCTTCCCTGCTTCAGGTCCCAGATCCGGATGGTGCCATCTTCATAGCCGACCACGGCTCTCTTCCCTGAAGGGCCGCAGGCACGGACGAAGAGAAAGACAGCACTCACAGGCACACCCGGCAAGGGAATGGGGGGGAAGGGGGAGACCAGGAAGTAAGGGAACGGACGCCGCCCCAGGGACTAGCGGCCAGTCAGGGCAGGAAAGGGGAGGCGGTCGGCTCTGGGGCCTGGGTCCGTGTTCTGGACAGCAGAGCTCGGAGCCGGCCGGCTAAGGCCCGGGAGGGAGCCCAGGAAGGCGCGTGAACCTGGAGCCAAGCTCTCTGCGCCCCGGGAAAGACAGACGGGGCAGCAGCCCTCACCGTCAGGGAGGACTCGGCCACAGGTAGCTGGGCAGCTGGGGCCTTGGAAGGTCTTGCAGTCACCATTTGGGACCTTCCACATCCAGGTGTTGCCGTCAGCCGTGCCCGCCAGGAGGACAGGTGCCCGAGGGTGCCACTCCATCCACTGGGCAGAGGGCAAGGGTCAGCAGGGAGGCCTGTCCCCCCTAGGAGCCCATCCCATAAGCGCCACCCAAGCTGTCCTTGCTTCCGAGGGTGGCAGGGACGGGACAGGAAACAGCCCCACACTCTTGCTGCACGTGGAGAGCACGCTGCCTTAGAGCGGGCTCGGTCTAGTAAAGGCGAGACTGGACCCCCCCAGCTCCCAGCTCCTCCCCAAGGCCCCGCGCAGCTGAACACCACTCTGATGCTCTCACCTCCAGATCTCCCGCTTCAAAGGACCAGACCTCCTCCTTGGTGTCCACCTGCCACACTTTCAACAGGCCACTCATGTCCCCTGTGGCCACGAGGGTAGAGTCGTGGCTGAAACCAGCACAAGTAACCGAGTCTTTATGGCCTGCAAAGGGAAGGAGACAGAAAGAGAGGAGAACATCAGGAGAACAGGACCCAGGTGGCTGACCCCCAGAAAGGACCAGCTGGGAAGAGAAGAAGGCTGGGTCCCACCGTAACAGGTGACTCCTGCTCACTGCCGCTCCAGGAGGTCTCCCTAGGGATGGTAATGCTCGCCTCCCACTCCACCATGCCTAGCCCAGGCCTATGTCCTCCCCATTCTGTCCACTCCACACCTCTGCCCAAAATACCGGCTCCTCCCTTCTAAATATCCTACGCTGCTGCTACCTCCTCCCAGACCTTCCCCAGACTCCTTTGGCCAATACTGGCTCCCTCCCCATGCCCAAGACAGACTAGGTTATTCTGAGGTCCTTGGGTCCAGCATTGAACTGGCCCAAAATGGGCACCAGTAAATGGCTGCTGTCTGCACAACCATTGCAGGCTAGCCCCCTATGACCTCCAAAGGAACATGACCTCACCGTACTCCCTCACCTGCACACTCAAAGAGCAGCTCCCCATCGCTGAGCCGCCACACGAAAGCTTTGTCATCCTCACCCCCTGTCACTGCCAAGGTGTTGGTCTTGGGGTCCAGGCTCACACAAAACACAGATGCTGTCCAAAGAGATATTCCATGAGTAAGCGGACAGGGCTCCCACCCCAGGTTCTGTCCTTCGGGACCTTCAGGAAACCCACCCCCTTCCACCCAAAGCAACATGTCTTTCCTCCCGGAAAAGAAGAGTGCATCCAAGTTCTTCTAAGTTTCAAGCATCAAGTTGTTGGAGCAATTCCTCCCCGTGCTTGCCAAGCTCCAAGTCCTTCCCCAGGGCTGCTGCGTTCACCACCCCAGACAGACGCACAGACAAGAGGAGGGTACACGTGCAGGCTTACAGGTCTCAGCACGGGCTGCCACCAGGCTGAGCACAGAGTGAGGAAAGCACCCTGTCACTTACCTTATTAAGGGCCACCAAGTGAGAGAATCATATAAAACATGCTCAAAAAGGTACTACTACCTCTAATTTACAACAACACGACTTTTTGAAAAGAAACTAACACCCAGAGAGATTAACAGAGATCACAAATCTGTAAGGAGCAAAGGGAGGATTTGAAGCCAGGTGTCTCGGCTGGCTCCGGGAGCCAAGCTCTCCCCCAGGCCTTCACACTGCGAGCTCCTCCAGGGCAAGGCCAGCCTCTGTTTTCCCACCTCCATGTCCCTCGGAAGGCTCCCTACACAGCAGGTGTCTGATGTTCAAATGCCCACATGCACTGAGTTGATGACTTGATGACAGATTTCCTCAGAGACCTACCTGAGTGCAATGCAAAGGTGACTTCGCTATCGTCTGGGCCCTCCATGCTGCCGACCACCCCTTCCTGGGGTTCCAGAACCCAGCCCTCCTCGTTGCCCTCTTCCTCTTCTTCCTCTTCTTCAAAGTCCACATCTTCCATCTCCTGGGCCAGATCATCTGCTTTGGGGAGAGGGTTAAGAGATGGGGCTCGGCAGACAGTAAGAAAAAGGGCAGGGGAGAAGTGGTGGGAGGCCTGAGGCGCTGGGGTGTAGCAAGAGGGTCGGCTGAGGTCAGACAGAGAGGGTGAAGCGCGGGGAGAAGCGGCAGGGAGGAGGGGGCACTGGGGACGGAGGACAGGAGAGGTCTGAGGACCCGGGGTTGGCCAGAGACGGTGTAGGAAGGGAGGACCGAGGGGATGATGGGAAGGGGGTGTGTGAGGGGAAGGGCCAGAGGAGGCGTCAGGGGAACCCCCACCCCTGCCAGGCCTGAGAACTAAGTGTGGGGGCAGGGAAGGGGGGAAGGGCGAAAGAGGTCGGGAGGAATGACCGGTGGGGAGGGGACGGGAGGGGGGAGAAGCAAGGGTCAGAGGCCAGGGGTTAGCGCCTCCTGTCCCACGGCCCGAGGAGCGGCAGTTCTCACCCGGGTCCGGCGGGCCAGGATCCAGTTCTACCACCTCGATAATCTCCTCATCACCATGGAAGCTCAGGGTCTCCAGTGGGGGGGTGTCAGCGGCGGCCCCGCTCTCGGATTCGGACTCCATGCGGCGCAAGCGGCCGATCCACTTCTCTGGGCCCAAACGCCTCCCAGAGTCAGCTCTGCGCGACGACGCGGAACTCGAGCCCCTCCTCCCGGGAGGAAGTAGGCGTAGGCGACTCCCCGGCAGGAAGAGCGACGGCCGCTAGGCCAATGGCGAAGGGGGCTAACTGGCCGACCCACCAGTCACAGGGCAGAGTTGGGAGAAGGGGCCGGGGCGTGGCGGGGAGAACCCAAACTCCGCCCGGCCTGACTCCGCCTCCAACAGGAGGGAAACAAGCGAGCGTGCGCGCCTCCGGGGTCTCCTGGGAAGGGTAGTTCTCCAGGGTCCCCTCGGAGGCTTCTGGGAGATGTAGTTTCTGGTCTGTAGGCAGGACGGAAGGAGCGGGGGAGGCCCCTTACGCAAACTACAATTCCCGGCGCGGAGCGCGGTGAAGGGGGGGTGGGATCTGAACATGGCGGCGGTGGTAGCTGCTACGGCGCTGAAGGGCCGGGGGGCGAGAAATGCCCGCGTCCTCCGGGGTAAGGAGAGGGACCCCGGGGAGGGCAGGACGGCAGGGGATCCCCTTTTTTTTATACATCCCAACCAGCGATAGCAGGAGGTCATGGCTGTCGATTCCTGCCTGCACCCCTCTGCAGGATCATAAAGAGTCAAGGGGCTCAAAGATACTCTCTAGAGGTCACCCAGCCCATCCCCCTGCCCTCAAGTTACGCGACACCTGTGGGGTCATGCTGCGAGAGGGAGCTCCGAGGAAGCCTTTTAGACTCCCGCGCTCCAGGTGTTTCACACTCACCGCAGTGCAGAGGAAAGAGCCCTGGGCTTCTGGAGGCTCGGGTTCTAGCCCCGGATAATTAGCAGTTTGACCTTGGGCGAAGCAGTTCGGCTCTCGGGGCTTCAGTTTCCTCTTCTATAAAATAAGGGGGTGGAGTAGACTACCTTTAAGCTCCCAGTGCTAACATCCTGCAGTTTGAAAACCTTTCCTCGGATTTCCTTGATACGACTTATGTGAGCCCCACTGCAGTCCTTCACATTCTGTCGTCTGAGCAGATGAAGAACAACGAAGCTCGCTCTCCTGGCACCAGGGTGATGAGCCCGCAGTGACGTGGAAGTGGCTTCCAGACGTGCCACCTCGATGGCAATTTTCCCATTTTCCCTTTGGATTCTCCCTGGCACTTGTTACTCCAAACTGCTGTCTCTCCCCTTTTTCCCCTGGGCTTTCTTCTCATCCTCTCTTACTGACCTTCCTTCCTTCCATCCGCAGGGATTCTCTCAGGAGCCACAGCTAACAAGGCCTCACAGAACAGGACCCGGGCACTGCAAAGCCACAGTTCCCCAGAGTGCAAGGAGGAGCCGGAGCCCCTATCCCCTGAGCTGGAATACATTCCCAGAAAGAGGGGCAAGAACCCCATGAAAGCTGTGGGACTGGCCTGGTGAGTTTTAACTAAAACTCTTTGCCCACCAATGGGGAGTGGCACAGTGGAGGGCGGGACCCAGAAAGTTTCTTCAAGTTTCAGGTGGTGAGTTGAATCTAAGGTTGTGGGGACAGAACTGCTTGACGTGAGGACTGGAATCTCAGAGGAATGGCGCAAGGGAGGTGGGAAAGTATGTGGAATTGGAGACACAGTGGGTTTCGGTGTAGTAAGCTGGGCTAATCTGATTGGAGTTTGGGTCCCTGGCTTCATTCTCTCTTTTGGGAGCTTGGGCTGAAAGCCCATTGAGCTCTTTCATTGAGATCATGAGAGATTATGTTAGTTGTATAAGTAGCATCTAGAAGGTGTCCAATACTTCGTTATTTGGATCTGACTCTGACCTTAATATGTATTGTTGATCAACATTGAGAGGAAAATTAACAGTTTTTTCCACACCTGAGGTGTGCCAGTACTTTACAGTGTAATGTTTTAGTTTTTCTGAGATAAATGTTACATCCCCTAAACCCAAAATACAAAAAAAATTTCTTTTTTAATTACATCCCATTTCACAGAGGAGGGAACTCTAAGTAAGGTTCAGAGGTGGGATTCTCACCAGGTCTTATGACTCCATGCCCTCTCCCCCCACACTAAAGTGCCTCCCAGGTAGCGGTTACTCAGATGAAGGGGAGTCGAGGAGGGGATGTGGGGCGGTTAAGGCAGAGGGAACCTTTGCCAACACTTGGAGAGGGAAGGAGGATGGGCCATCTGGAGAATCTTGCATAGTCCGTATGGCAGGATCGCAGGGCTCTCAGGTCAAGGAGCCTCAAGCTATACGGGAAAGGAATGAAAAGATGGGCAGGGGACCAACCACACTGGGCCTTTTGTGCTGTGCCTAGGAGTTTGGATTTGGCCAGGAAGTGACGGGGAGCTTTAGAGAGTTTTAAGCAGTGCGGCAGCAGGATCTGATTGGCTTTTGGCCCTCCAGCAGCCAGTGCGGAGGCTGCAGAGACACGAGAGGTATTGCGGTGTTCGTGCAACCGATGAAGCTGGAATGAGATTGCCCCAGCTCCTCTGGCTCAGGCTTGGCCCCTCCCCAAATCCCGTGCACATCTCCCCACCCCTAGGGCCATCGGCTTCCCCTGTGGTATCCTCCTCTTCATCCTCACCAAGCGGGAAGTGGACAAGGACCGTTTGAAGCAGATGAAGGCTCGGCAGAACATGCGGGCATCCAACACGGGCGAGTATGAGAGCCAGAGGTTCAGGGCCTCCTCCCAACATGCCCCGTCTCCTGAAGCAGGGTCGGGGGTGCAAGCCTGAGGAACACTGCCACCCTCCCCTAGACTGTATTGACTGTGGCCTCCAAGACTGAAGTCCTCTGGGTTTGGCCAAGATTCCGGTCCTTGCCTATGAGGTCCGCCAGAGGGCGCTGCCAGCCCCCTGCCCTGCCCCTCCTCAGAAGCCAGCCAAAGGCAAATAAAGTCCTGGAATGTTTTGAGCGCAAAGGAACCAGGAGTGGGCTTGTGAAATCCTTGGGACGGGAGGGGCCGAGGGAGGGGTTGGTTACTCACATGTGCTCCTCTCACAGGAGCGCTCAGTGTTCCTGGCTGGCTGGTTGGGGAGACTACGGAGACTTAAGTTCAACAAGCTTAGGCTCAGGCCCTGGGGACCAAGCCTTCAGAGCTGCTGGCCAGGAGGGTGGGGTCTCACTGAGCCTCTAACGAAAAATAAAAAGAATCAAAAAGGGATTCAGAGTGAGGCGGGGGAAGCACTCCTCTTGGTCCGGTCCAAGTGACTGGGCACTCTGGACCTCAGTTTCCTTGTTTGTAACAGGAATTGGACTAGTGATTTCTTTTTTTTTTTCTTTAAAGATTTTATTTATTTATTTGACAGAGACATAGAGCAGGAACACAAGCAGGGGGAGTGGGAGAGGGCGAAGCAGGCTTCCCACGGAGCAGGGAGCCCGATGGCAGGACCCTGGGATCATGACCTGAGCCGAAGGCAGACGCTTAATGACTGAGCCACCCAGGCGCCCTGGACTACTGATTTCTAAGGCATGGGTTCTAAACTTGAACCTGTGGTTCATCTCCCTCCACCCCCACGTGTGAAGTCGTGTGAACACATACAGCTTTGTGGGGAGGAGAGTTCATAGCTCTCATGTGCATTTGTAAAGGGTCTAGGATGCAGAAAAGGTCACGTGCCACTGCTCTGACCGGTCCCTGCCAGACCCAATATTGCAGGGTTGAACCTTTACCAGTCTGTTGCATCCATCACCAGGAAGCACTGGGGCAAAATATATTTGATTATCTTAGAAAAGGCAGAAGACGCCAAGCCAGAAGGCAGAGGTAGGAAGCGGATGCTTAGGGCAGAGCCAAACCAGCACTCCCAGAGCTCCCACCTTAAAGCAAAGAAACCAGAGCCAAATAGGGGTTTAACTCCTAAACATAAAACTTTATTACATTTCTAGTTATGTCCTTTTGCGTGATATATTTAGGACCAAGTAGTTAAGAGAAGTCCTTATTATATCCTTGGGCTAATTTGGTTTCCACCCCCACCAACAGATCGACTCTTGTCCCCCTCCCCCCCCCGTTCCAGCTTGAGGCACTAGGTGTTGCGAAAAAGTGGCAGCTGGCTGGAGAGAGAAGGCTCAAGTCTGAAATCCCCCAGTACAAACTGAGAGCGGAAGTCTCCTTTCGCTCAGGGTCCTCCCCAGGTTAGCATAAGAACACGGAAGTTTCCATGGATACCACAGGAGGCTTTCATATCCCTCAGACCAGGCGGAAGACCCCAGAGCCTTTCCCCTGCCCCCACCCTGGCCTCTCTTCACCCTCGTTACTTCCTGGCCACACTTACAGTCCTACAAACCACCCCATCTCCTGACCTTTGCTCCTCACTTTCTGCTCTGAGCAGCTTGGGCACTGGAAGCAAGAGGTCTCTCTGACCAGAGATCTCAGAAGCAGCCGGGGAGGGCCCAGGCAGCTCTGGAGAATGGGGACCAGACGGCTGCGAACAAGCCTGTCCTCTCCACCACCAGAAGCCATGAGGAAGCCCAGGGTAGATGCCACTCTGTATTGGCCCCTGTGCTTGACTTTGCTTACTCCCCTCTTCCTCCCCTGCTCCAAATAAACAGTATATGTATATGCCATCGAAAATAGGGGGATTGAAGCAGGGGAGACCCATGGGCACAGATCTCTTCTACCTTCAGGAGCTTGAAGGGTTGTCAAAGGAGTACAGGACAATGGCCTAGGAGTCCAGGAGGCTGGGGACAAAGCTCTCTGACTTGGGGGTTGAGGGAGGAAATAGCTCTAGCTACAGAGCCCAGAAGCCTATGGCAGAGGTGGGAGGGGACACCTCATCACCTCAAAGTCACTTCTACCTCTCATACTCCTTTTTGGCTACAGAGTAGGCTCTTCTTGTCCTTCCCTGCAACCCCAGCTATTGAGAAGAGTTTGGTGCCATGTAGTGGGTGGAGGAAGAAGGCACATCTGCCTAGTCCCCTCTGGGTCTGTCAAAGGCAAGAGTTAGTCCCCAGTTCCTCCAGCCCGCCAGCTAACCTGTGCATCCATCACCAGAGAGGCCACCCATTCCAGGACAGAACAGAAACTGGGCATGTTACTGGAGGGAGAAGGAAAGAGATCTGAGGTCCAGACTCCGGTCACAGGGCCCAGCCCTCTAGGGAAGGGGGAGCCCACGGTGGGGCGGAATGCGGTGCTCCTTAATTGCGATCCCCGACCAGCTGCAGCATAAAGGTGAAAATGTAGATGATGTCGGTGTAGATCTGCAGAGCGCCAGTGATATAGTCCTCGGGGCTGATGGTGTGCTTCCGGTTCCCCAGGACCAGCTGCGTGTCATAAGCCAGGAACTGTAGGAATAGGGAAGGCACGCGTGAGGACCCAGGGGCTCTGTGGCCAGAGCTCCTTCCTGGTTCTCATTTCATCAGCAGATCCGTCCTGGGAGCCTCCGTGCCATGCAGTATGCTTAGGGACACGTTAACGAACAGCACAGCACATGGTCTCTACCCTCAATTGGTTCAGAGTCTAGAAAGGGAGAGAGACACACCCCCATCCGTAATAGGGCCTGCTGGGTATGCTCCATAGCTGGCAGGTGAACAAGAAAGAGGTGTCAGGATCGCCCAGAACATCAGTCATCTCGACAGCGGAGAGAGAGAAAGGTAACTGTGGCCCACTCCCTGCCTCCCAAGCAGCCCGAATTCATGTTCTGTCTGTCTAGTTGCTCCCCTCCAGCCCCTCAGCTCCCCTGCCAAGAGGGAGCAGGGCCTTACTCACCAACGTGAAGCAAATGGCCCCCAGAGCAGCATAGACCATGTGGAGCCAATAAATCTGGGGAGAGGGGACAGGGATGGTGTTAGAAATCTTAGCAAAGCACGGACCCAGGCAGTCCCTCAGAACCAGCTTCCCCCTATTCTGGGAAGAATAGGGAAGAGCAGGGAGACCCAGGAAGCTAGCTACATGAAAGGACCACTTCTGCCTTCTAGATCGGGGAAGAAATTAGTAGTAGTAACATATTTGGGATGCCTGGCTGGCTCATTCAGTGGAGTATGCAACTCTTGATCTCGAGGTTGTGAGTTCGAGCCCCACACTGTGTGTAGAGATTACTTAAAAAAAAAAAAGAATAGTAACAAATTTGGACAGAGAAAACAGGCCATCCTCCAGTGGTCATATGAAACCAATCTCCAAAGTTAGGGTACAGAAGTGTCCACTGTACTTCTGGAAAAAAGCAGGTGGTTGCGTTGTAGCTCTGGGAGAGACAGAGCCAGGCAAGCACTGGTCAAAGAGCCCTGTCCCCTTTCCCCCAGTCCTAGTCCGCGCTCAGTCATGGTTCCTGCAGCCAGCCTGGGAAGGAAGCCCCCAGCTACCCTAAGGACTGCCAGAATTCTGGAGCCCTCCAGGTGCCTGTTCATAGAAGGGCAGGGCCAGCCATGGTCCAGTAGGCAGGTGCCCTCACAGCACGGTGCTCCCCTCCTCGCAGGTCCCTTCCATGCAAGCCCATCTTCTCAGTCCTGG